ATTGTAAGAAGGAAAGAATTACCCATGTCTTCAGTTAATTCTGTTTTATTATAATATTTATTAGTAATCTTGTAGCTTCCTAAAAATAAATTGAAATTAATTAAGATTAGTCTTATATTTCAAAGATAAATATTGTAAGGAAGGAAAGTTTACCCAAATCTTCCGTTAATTCTGTTTTATTATTGTCACTGATTGGACTATTTCCTTCCAATTCTGAAATAGATGATACCCTACAACTTTCTAAAACATTGAAATAATTAAAATTAGTTTATAGATAAAGTTGAAATATAAAAGAAGAAAAAAGACAATGTTAAATAAAAACGTTTACCCAATTCTTTAGTTAATCCCGTTTTATTAGAAGATAATTCGTCTTGATTTAAAATTTCATTTAATTTTACAGTATAGTCAAATATCCTGCTTTTATAACAAGATAATGGATGATTAATAACAGCCGGTTCGTCCTCTGTCATAAAAATTAATATATTTAGTTAATTATTAGTTAATAAGAACAAATTAATGATGAATATTATTTACCTGATACAGGAATTCGAACATATTTAGATTTATAATATACATTATACCATTTACTAAAATAATTATTTAACTCTTTGGCAGTTGGTCTTTTATTGGGATCATGATTCCAACATTTTTTCATTAATTCTACATATTCAGACATAGTGCCTTCAATAATTTTTGGTCTTAATCCTCGACAAATACTTAAAGCAAGTTTAAAATCATGAGGCTTATTATTAAAAGCGGGAATACCAGAAGTCATTTCCCACATTATGATACCAAAGGAGTATATATCAGCGGCTATTGTATATGATTCTCCACGCAATACTTCAGGTGCAATAAAAGGAAGCACCCCATAAATTTCATTCGAATTATTAGGTTTATCAGCCGGTCTACTCAATCCAAAATCACTAATATACATACTCTTTTGGTCCCATAAAAGTAAATTACCACTATGGAAGTCGCCATGAACCAAACCGTAATCATGCAGTGCTGAAAGTGATCTTGCTACAAAATATAGATTTCTATACTTGTCATTTGGATTATATTTTTTAATCATTAAATTAGATCTCAAGTTGCCATTTTTTATTTCTTCTAATACAATTATGTAATTTAATGTTTTGGGGTCTCGAGTTATTCCAAATAAAAAAATGCTTGCTTTATCCGCTAAACAAATAAATTTTAAATACTTTTTCCACTAAAGAAACAAAATCGGTGTTAAAAAAAAAAAAATTGAAATGCATCAATTTGCATTTCTAATAAAAAAAACAAAATATTAATAGAATTTACCTCAATTAAAAAATCTTCATGAATATTTGAGGAATTATTCAGACTTTTTAACACAACGTACAATCCATTTTTGTCACTTTCGTCTAGAGGGGATCGAATTTTATCGTTCTTTGCATTTTTATAATCTTTATCTTTAAGTGAAATAAAATTTCTTTTCCACTGATTGTTTTCGCTATCCCATTTTTTAATGTATCCATCCAACCAAATAGCTTTGTAAACGGTACTGAAACCACCTTCAGCAAGATATTGTATATTCCTCAAATGATCATAAGGAATCCATTCTATAACTTCCCTATAATTTCTTGCTTTTAATTGAGCATCTTGAATAAATTTATCTATATGCGTGTTTCCACTAGTCCATTTACCGAATTCTTTTTGAAATCTTTTAAGACTGCAATTTTGACACCAATAATTATCAACTCTTTGTTCATTGCAATCAGAACATAGTCCGTTTATAGTATTTTCAATATTTTCAGACATAATTTAAATTATTCTAAATTATATATATATGTATATATATTGATATATATTTTTATTTTTAAAAAATAATAATAATGATCATGTTGTGGGAAATATTTTATTGAGTGGTATTTAAAGATAAATACAGTAAATACATTACGTACTTGAGTAACAATATTTTTCTGTCACAGGTTAAATATATGCGCAATTTCTTATATAGGTTTATTTTTTAAAATTTGGCCGATCTTTATTTAGTATTTAAAAATAACCTACGATCTACTAATGAAAAAAAAAAAGCAACTTTTGAGAATTTTAATGAGTAATTATGAAACGAACATCATACAATACTAATATGAAACATAAATACTTCTTCGTATTATCAACGAAGTACAAACCCTTACCAAAAGTATTTAGTATAACATTTACTCTTAATGCGACCGTCTGTTATTAGTAAGCCGAATGCTTATCCCGTGGAAGCTACAAATAACATTAAAAATACAATTTCAATTTTTCTGCCATAATTTAATTATCTAGTTATAAAAAATTTTTTTCTTTCGTCAAAAAAAAAAAGTGCAAAAACTTATTATCTTTTAATTTTCACTAAAAATAATAACAACGCAAAGCGAAAATATAAGCTTGTCGGATTCTATATCATTAATTCAATTATTATATCAAAAACCTTGAAGCACTGACTAGATAACATCGTAGTTCCTCCAGTTGGCAATATATATCATAATCCAATTTTTTAAAAATCAACCATCTCATTAACAATGTGGGACCTTTGCAATAGAAAAGGGGAAAGGCTGGAAAAAATAAAATGTGTTAATGCTAAATCCGAATATATTTTGACCTAAAATTCATATTTGGCATAAAGTAAATTGATTTTTTTTCCGGCAGTTTCCCTTTCTATTGCAAAGGCCCATATGCGCACTTTTGCAAAAAAAAAAAATTTTTTTAAGTTAATGTTAGATCTGATCTTATTTAACTAAAAAAAAGATATTTAGCATATAAAGTAAAATTATTTTTTAGTTCTCTTTTTACTGCAAAGTACTCATAATAAATAATTAAAAAAAAATGAAAATGACTATTAATTAAAATTAAAATATTTGAAAAGTAAAGTAAATTATTAATAAAAGAATTGATTACAAAAAGAAAATATTAAATAATATCAAAAGTAAAATGAATTATAAATAAGATATTATATTACATCTCTTGAAAAATTTTATAAATCTTTAATGTTATTCTTATTTGAATATCAAAATGAGATTAGGATAGTTATTGTATTTTACAATACAGAAAGCTATTGTATATAAGTATTACAAATAAAATCACATTACAAATCATATATTTTATTATTGATTTTATTCTAATATATTTGAAGAATAGAAAACAGAAACTCTTGTTTAAGTCTAAAGTATAATTTTTATATTAATCATGTAACATAAATTGATTTTCCATTTTTAGTCCCTTCTTCTTTAATAAATCATATATTTTATTTGCTTTTCTAGCATTTTCTTTTTCTGAATCTGAAATTATTAATAAAGTTTATATGATATCAGAAAAAATTATATATATATATATATATCTTATTTTTTTTTTTATTTTTTACGTGTGGTAGCTTTACACAAACTTTATTTAAGAGTAAAGTAAAATTTTACAAAATTACAAATTACAAGACAGAGAGTACAAAAATTTCTATT